GGTAGCTCTGTTGGTTAGAGCATCATCCCAATACACCAAGGCTTTGGGTTCAATCCCCAGGGCACATACAAGAAATCAACCAATGAGCGCATAAATAAGTGAACAACAAATTCACGTCTGTTTGTCTCTCTCTCTCTCTCTCTCTCTCTCTGTGAGAGTGTGTGTGTGTGTGTGTTTCCTTTCTCTCAAATCAATAAAAAAAATTTCAATAAAAATGATATAAAATATTTTAAGTACTAATTATTTCATTCACTTCTAAACATAAAAGAAAAAATCAATTAAGTTACTTAACTATCCCAAGCCACACATGGCACCCTAAAAATACAGTATTTCCAGTATGCACCCAGTTTTTTTAGTTTCCACATAAACAGTAAGAGCAGAGACTCTAAGTCCCTTAGCGTAACAGCCGTGTGCTTCAGAATCAAAGCAATAGGTTGCCTTTGTGTAGTGACAGATAGCCCAAGTATCAACTGAGGAAAGCAGCCTGAACTGCTAAAGTGGTCAAGGTCTAATGTGACAAACACTTGGGTAAAACATATAACATATATCCTCTGCCTCTAGTCTAGCTTGGTCCTAACCATGATTTAGATAAGGTCCAAGCCGAAACAGGTTTGGCTCAATGGATAGAGCGTTGGCCTGTGGACTTAAAGGTCCTGGGTTCGATTCCGGTCAAGGGCATATACCTTGGTTGCGGCACATCCCCAGTTGGGGGTGTGCAAGAGGCAGCTGATCGATGATTCTCTCTCATTGATGTTTCTAACTCTCTATTCTCTATCCCTCTCACTTCCTCTCTGTAAAAAATCAATAAAATATATGTTTTTTTAAAAATAGATAAGGTCCAAACCAACAGCTGTGACAAAGCTACAGAATCAGCACACTCACACTAGAGTATTTTTCACCAAACCACTCTTTTTTTTTAATTTTTTTTTATTGATTTTTTACAGAGAGGAAGAGAGGGATAGAGAGTTAGAAACATCGATGAGAGAGAGTCATCGATCAGCTGCCTCTTACACACCCCCTACTGGGGATATGCCTGCAACCAAGGTACATGCCCTTGACCGGAATCGAACCCGGGACCCCTCAGTCCCCAAGCCGACGCTCTATCCATTGAGCCAAATCGGTCCCGGCCAAACCACTCTTAATTACACCAAGCCAACCAAAAGAAGTGGACTGTATTTCCTTAAGTTGGTCACATTAAGTCCTCTGGCTATCCTAAAAACTTCCCGATTTAAAACTTCTCCTCCAAATATATATATCTCTATTCAACTCTAGGTGCTAAAGTACTAAGCAAGATATACTTTTTAAGCAGCTGGATCCAGAACTAGTAGGACATTTAAAATAATTTCTTTAGGCTTACATTTGTATCATACAGAAAGGGTTACCCATAACAAAGCTTTCAGCAAGCTGTGTGGGGCGAGAGAGGCAACTTTTAAAAAGCAATACAATAGCCAAGACTGGTTTGGCTCAGTGGATAGAGCGTCGGCACGGACGGAAAGGTCCCGGGTTCGATTCCAGTCAGGGGCATGTGCTTTGGTTGCAGGTGCAACCCCAGTTGGGGGTGTGCAGGGGGCAGCTGATCGATGATTCTCTCTCATCGATGATTCTCTCTATCCCTCTCTCTTCCTCTCTGTAAAAAAATCAATAAAATATATTAAAAAAAGAAAAGTCACTTATTTTAAAATAAATAAATAAAAAATTAAAAAAGCAATACAATATACTGTAGATTCTTCCATTTTAACAAAGTTCTAGTTTATCTAGAAGTAACTTCCAAGTTAACAAGCCACATTAGAAATCTCAACTTCAGACATTAGGAAATAAGGACAGCTGCAAACCCAGAAATTTTGCATGGACATTTCTTTTAACAGCAACAATATAATCATCACATAGCAAGTTATTTTGTGTCCGAGGTATTTTAAATATGGAGGATTTCAAAGTTCCTTAGATCAAACACCCTTAAATCTATATATTGCTATCTACAAATGTAAAGTTGCAGTGGAATGACATTTTTTTTTGTCTCTGAATTAGCCACCAATAATGCAATTCTAACTGACCATATCATCACTTAGTGAACTGCTAGACTGAGAATAGCATATTAAGAAAGTTAACTTCCTTACTTTGCAAAACTAACTTCAAAAGTTACCAAAATAAGTCATTCTGACATTCAAATTGAAAATAATAGCCCTAGCCGGTTTGGCTCAGTGGATAGTATCCACCAGCAGATTGAAGGGTCCCAGGTTCAATTCAAGCCAAGGGCACATGCCAGGTTGCAGGCTTGATCCCCAGTAGGGGGCGTGCAGGAGGCAGTCAATTGATGTTTCTTATCTCTCTCTCCCTCTCCCTTCCTCTCTGAAATCAATAAAAATATTTTTTAAAAAGAAAAAGAAAATAGCATGCAAACAAGTATTTCATTCAATGGGTGGGAAATAGTATTTCAGCATTCTGAAATTTACATTTGCCCCAAACTCACTTCCATATATAGGCCTGTCCCCCAAAAATGTATACATAGACTTTGAATATATAATTACCAGGATAAAGACAGTGTTTATTAAAAATACACTGAGCTATCAGTTGTTGAAGTGTGTAAACATTTTTGGGGACACCCTGCATATGCCTTCAGTGCCCATGTGTGAAATATTAAAAACAAAAGCTGAATAAAGAAGTGCATTTGACAACTGTTGCTATTTTAAATTGCAAGGGGGCTTTCAATTCCTCACGCTAAACAAATACTTATATGCCCTGCCATGCTGGCTACAGCATCCTACCTCTGTAATTTGCACCTTATCATGGCATCTCATGACAGAACATCCAAAAAATTAAAATAGTATGATCTGAAGCTTCTTTTCAAGCATGTTTACAAGAAGAAGTACCTCACAAAAACCATCCACTTTTATGTGACTCTAAATCTCCATGCCTAGAAGCCAATGACTGGTTTACAAGCAAGATAATGACTAGTTCACTGGAAAAGGCATTATGACAATAAACTAAGACTGGCTCACCATGTTATGATCTGCTTGCCTAATATGTATGTTTAGCTACTGTAGTCAGCAATGTCCAAAGATAAAATGGAAACATTTAATGGCTGGTTCTGTTCTAGATTTCAAGCTCATCTTACCTTTTTAAAGCATAGCTTTAATTTAAGATATTTTTTAGTAAGTATTTTCCCTAGAGTAGAAAAAAATTTTAAAAATTGTTATTCAATTTTCCCATGACAAAAAAATGAAATGTCCAAAATCTCAATTATTTCAACACACCTCTTTTTACCTTAACACAATTTTTTAAAAAATAAGTTTCAAAAAATTAAAAAATAACCTTCAAACAGGTTAGACATTATATCCCCAAAATAAGAAGCTTTCAAAAATGTATGAATACACCCATAAGTATACCACAAAACGCCTTGTTGCATGGAATGCCTTATTGAATTAAGCATAAAAAACTTTATTTGGTTGGTTACATTTCAGTTACTGTTTAATGACAGGAAGGCATAAGATATCAAATAAAACCATGAAAATGTTCTTTTTTAAACATCAGCCATATTTTGTTTACTTAAGTACTGTTTAATCATGACCTATCCAAACCTTATCATGGCTCATTGTATAAAATTAGCACTGAGCTTGCAAACATAAGCAGAATCCAGACTTATCAAACATATGGTGAGGCTTGCCCAGCTTGTGAAAAATTAAACGGGAGTGCAGGATCAAAATGTTTTCGTTGGGAACAAACAAAACCCACCGATTCTGCTCAAAAGTTCTCATCAGAAATATGATCAAAGGAGGGATCTCTTAAAATATTAAGAGAGCCCAGCAATTAAAACTTTGAGAGACAGGAAGGAAAAAAAAAAAAAGAATTGGCTTGATTAGTACTGCCACTTCAGAAGCTACAGATAACAAACATCTAAAAAAAATATATATTTTTTTAAAAAGAATTCAGCCGATCTCCCAATTGCTGGAAGGCACACACACAAGCACAAGCACAGGCTGGTTTGCCAGCTCCCTCCCCCGCCCCTGTGCCAGCGAGACATCCAAGTTGACAAAAGAATTAACCATACGATTTCCCTCTAAAACTGGACGATCATCAAAAAAAACAAACAAACAAACAAACACTTCGCCGTGGCTCGCAGGAGCTCTTTATAATTAGAAGCAGCGACCTGACAGGTGGAAAAATGAACCCTAACCGGGGCGGCCGGAGGCTGTGAAAACACGGTTCGAGGACTGGCCGCGTTGTGGCTGCTCGGCCGCGGGGAACTCACACGCACACACACGCCCTCCGGGCAGAGGACCCCGGCAGACACCGGGCGGGGGGCCCGCAGGCTCCGCGGGACACCACGTACCATTTTAAAACCGCCTTCTCGCCGCCGCCGCCGCCGCGAACGCGGGCATTCTGGCCGCCGGTCCTGCCGCCGCCGCCGCCGGGGAAGCGAGCGGGCGGGCGGCCGCCGCCGTAACGAGACGCCGGCAACAGCCCCGCCGCGCGGCCGCCACGCCTTCCTCGGGCCGCGGCGGGGGGACGCGGGGCGGCGGGTCACATTTCTCCTCCCCAACGAGCGCACGCACTCGCGTCCACGGAGCGGACAGCCTCCGCGCCCGCCGCCCGCCGCCGCCGCCTGCCCGGGACCCGGGGCCGGGACGCGGCCATCGGCCGGGCGCTCGGGTGGCGGGCGGGCGCGCGCGCGCGTGTCGGTGTCTGCGCCCCTTTTTTTCACGAGAGACGAGGGGTGTCCGCAGGGCCGGCCCCGGGCGCGGCGGGGCGCGGGCACCCCGGCGCGGCGCACACACACACACACACACACACACACACACACACACACACACACACACACACACACACACACACACACACACACACACACACACACACACACACACACACACACACACACACACACACACACACACACACACACACACACACACACACACACACGGCCGCGGCCTCCGGCCCGGGCGCCCGGCCTGAGGGAGGCGCCGGGGGGGGACGCGCCGCACGAGCGCGCGAGGAGGGGGATGCGGATGGGGGTGCGGGACGCGCGGCGGGGTGCCCCGCGGAGGGGCCCCGCGGAGGAGCCGGTCCCCCCACCCCCGCCCCGCGCCCTTACCTTCCTAGAGGCCCGCGCTCTCCCCTCGTCGGGCGGCCGCAGCCCTGAGCATGTCCGGGGCGGGTGCGGGGCCGTGCGGGGGACGCGGAGCCAGGCGCCTCAGCGGGCGGCACCACCCAGCCCGGGCTCAGCCCCGCTCCGCGGCCGCTGCCATCTTGTCCCGGCGGCTGAGAGGAAACGGCGAGACACCCACCCTCGACCGCGGCGGCTGCTGCTGCTGCTGCTCAGGCTGCGGAGCGCCGGGCCCGTCTCCCTCATCTTCCTCCCAGGGAGCTGGGTGGGGTCGGTGGGCCGGGGCGGCGGGTGGGTGCGAGGCGGGCCGGGCGGCCTCCGCCTGCGGGGCCTACGGGAGGCGCGGGGTGCGGGGCCCGCGGCGGGCGGGGCCCATTCCTGACGCCGCTGCCGGGAGGGGAGGGGGGGAGGGCGGGGACGGGAGGGGGGACAGCCGGGAGGCGCGGGCTGCGGGCCCGCCGCTCGGTCTCCTCGGGTCGCCGCGCTGCCGGCAGTCGTCACCAGGCAGCTGCCGGCGGCCGCCCAGTGCCGGCCCCTCCTCCGCGCCCCCGGCCGCCGCCGCCTCCGCAGCGCCCCCGCCCGCCCGGCCGGCCGCGCAGCGCGCTCAGCCCGCCGCCCGCTCGGCTCCGGCCGCGGCGCCGCCCGAAGCCCCGCCCCGGCCGCCCGCTGCCGCGCCCGGGGCGGGCCGGCGGGGATCCGACCCGGCTCCCCGCTCCAGCCCTCCCCCCAAAGGAGCCCCCGGCCGCTGCTCTGAGCCTCACCTCCCCTGGGTCCACTCCGATGAAAAGGCAGAAGCAGGATTTTAACAGGCCTTTTGAAACCCTGTCATCAGTTTCCCCTCCAACCCCTTTAGGATCTGTTGGGGAGCGGGGCGGTTTCTGGGGTCGTTTTTTTGGTTTGGTTTGGTTTTTAAGCCCCATAAATAAGGAAGGGGGAATGCTCAGACAAGTGAACAATCCCATTTAACATAGGTCCTTCCCGCTTCCCCATCCCAAAGAGGCAAGAAAATAGTACAATCAGGTTAAAGAACAGGGGAAAGGCCCTCTTGGGTCCAAGAACATCTCTCTAGGACCCAAATGCCAGTAAATGTGAGGTTCACCCGCCTCCGTGTGGATATTTCTCCATCACGTTGTCAATTCCACGCCCAGAGATGAGTTTCCTCCCTCCCGGAGACTGGGAAATCAACAGAATGGCCCATCTCAACGTAATGATAGAACTGTAGAATTTTAGGCATGAAGGAACCTTAGAGATCTTTGGTACAAACTCTTTAAGTTAGGACAGGGGGCCCAAAAACTTGAGGTGACCTGCCAAGGTTACACGGCAAAGCCCCGGTCTCTCCCTTTATTTAGGCAACTACTGACCTAAGAACCTATCACTCCCAGGATTGTTGTGGGCTTTTTTTTTTTTTTTTTTTTTAATATATTTTATTGATTTATTACAGGGAGGAAGAGAGAGGGATAGAGAGAAACATCGATGAGAGAGAATCATCTATCAGCTGCCTCTTGCACACCCCCTACTGGGATGTGCCCGCAACCAAGGTACATGCCCTTGACCGTAATCGAACCCGAGACCTTTCAGTCTGCAGGCCGACGCTCTATCCACTGAGCCAAACCAATTTCGGCTGTTGTGGGCTTTTTAATTGTTTCCTTTTGTTCTGAATTAATGTTTAACTTTGGGGCAATGGAACACCTTTCACTGAGCAGTGGAAATGCCCTTTGTTCCCTTCATAATCTTCATAGAAGGATTGGATCTACCACACGCCTATTTATCCGCAGACATTTTCTTTCCCCCCCTTCTTCTCCCACCCCTCCCCCCCCCCCCGCCCCGACATTTTGTTGCAGAACTGGGCAGGGTAAAGGGAGTAGCAAATCGGGGCATATTTAATACTAGTTTTATTCCCGGCAGCTTTTCAAACTGGAAGAAGAATGTTTTGGAGGATGCCTTAAAAAGAGAAAAGTATGCCCTGAGGCAGTTGCAGATAAGATTTTCAAGTGACAGTTGTTTTCTTCAAGTTAGGGAAATACCCTGCTGGAAAGTCTTCCAAAATAGAAAAACAGTGTCTCTCCAAGAGAATAGCATGTTAGCCATTCTTTTTCACTTAGTATTATTTACCTTTGTTTATTGTTTTCATTGATTTTTAGAGAGAGAAAGGAAGGTTGAGGGAGGAGGGAGAGACATAGAAACATCAATGGGTTTCCTCTTGCACACCCCTCTGCCCTGACTGGGAATGGAACCAGCAGCTGCTTGGTGCATGGGTCTATGCTCAACCACTGAGCCATACCAGCTGGGCTACTTTGGATTTTTTTAAAAATATATTTTATTGATTTCATAGGGGAAAGGAGAAACATTGAGCAGCTGCCTCCTACACGCCCCCTACTGGGGATCTAGCTGGCAATCCTGAGCATGTGCCCCTGACTGGAATTGAACCTGGAACCCTTCACTCCACAGGTTGACACTCTATCCACTAAGCCAAATCAGCAGGGACAACTTTTGAATTTTTTATAAAGCAATAGTTAAAAGAACCAAAAAACTATTTTAAAAAATTCCTCAAAGGACAAAGTTACAGTAATAGAGAATAAGTTAAACAGGAAAAATATTCCACTAGAACTTCAAATTTTCAGAAATTTTGCAAAACACCTCTAGATCACCTGTAATGGAAAGCTCCCAATTTATCTGTTTTGTGGCATTGCTGCATCTATGAAGAAGCTGAAAATTGAGATTCCCGCCCCCTTTCTGTCCCTGACATTGGTACTTGAAATACCAAGACACATAAATTCCAGGAAGGGATTCTGTCATTATTTCATTTTTTTAACCGTTGCATTGCCAGTGCCTAAAATAGTGATTTATAGTCGTCTTTAGTAAATGTTGCTAAATAAGTAAATGAACACTATTAATTCAAGTTGTCCTCTGTACCTAACCCCGCCTAACAATCTCTTTACTCCAACCTCTCCTCTTTAATCCATTCTGAACATCAACATTCAGAAAAATTTTCAGAATCCCTGATTTAGCCATTTTATGAAGTTTGCAAAAAAGAGAAACAATTTTGGTGCTTTCTCTCCCAGGGCAAGCCCATGCCTTTTCTCTCCTCCCCTCCCTCCTGCCCCCAGGCCCTTTACTTCTCTCCTATGCTCCCAAGGGCCCTTACTTTTATTTTATTTTTAGGCCCATTATTTTGCCTCTAACTTTCTAAATAAACTTTCTCATATAGTTTTTAAAAAATGGAGTTTTCATAGTGTTTTGTTTTACATGCAAGATGCAAAAGCCATGAGTGTGGCAGGCGGGGTTAGAGATTAGATATTTTGAAAAACTGAAAGACATTTTTTAGTCAGAGGAGGATGAATCAAAGCAGACAAGGGTAGAGGGGGAAGCAAAGACCAGATTGTGCTTTATGAATTTATTCTACCAGCAAATGAAGCTATTGATTTATGAGGGGCACTATATGACCAAAGAAGACATTGATGCCCTGGCCGAAGTTGCCGGTTCGATTGGTTTAATGTTGGCCCATGCACCCAGAAGTTGCCGGTTCGATTCCCAATGAGGGCACATCCCCTGGTTGTGTGCTGGGTCCCCAGTGGGGGGCAAGCAAAAGACAGCAGATGGATGGTTCCCCCTCATGGATGTTCCTCTCCCTCTCCCTTTTCTCTCTCCCTAAAATCAATTTTAAAAAACAAAGAAGACATTGGCTTTGGGTGTAGGAACCATCTCTTTTTCACTTTTTTGTATTTTTAAATTTTTCCTTTCAGTAGCTTTCAATCTCATTCAGAGTAAAAACTGAAAGCCTTACATTGGGCCCTTTGAGACCCTACACAGAACTGGCCCAAAGGGAACTCACCTGCTCTTTGTCTCATTACTCTACAACCTTTCCTCACACTCCACTCTCTGACCTCAGGTACCTGGCCCACTCTCTCTCTCTGCCTGGAGCTTGCCTGAGTCTTCACCTACATCCTTTTCAGGTCTTCACTCAGATGTTACCTTCTCAGTGAAGACTTCCTCAGTAATAATACCTATATATACACGTTAAACTCTTTATTTTTTACCTTTATTTTTATCCTTAGGGCTTACCACATCTAAGTACTGTGGTACAGATTTTCTGTACCCTCTGCCCACCAGAAGGGAAACTCCCTGAAGGCAGAATTGTTTTGTGTTTTGTTGGCTGCTCAATCCCAAGGCCTAGCATGCAAAGGAACTCAATAAACATTTGTAAGATGAGAGAATGGATTTTATCTGTAAAGCAGCGTGAAATCCTCCATAAACTCAGACTGCAAGCAGTAGCAATTGCACCCAGGCCTTTCCCCAACCCCCACACCTCAAAACTAATGTGTCCCAAGGCCAGTGCTCCTTGTACTTACCTTGGGTTCCTCACAGCTTTGTTCTTTATTGTACCACATGGAGGTGTGGTACAATATAGATAAAAGGCCCTCCCAGCCTTAGCAGAGGATGCAGATGCTTCTCCTAAGAAAAACGTTGGAATTTTTTTTTTTAATCTTCATTGTTGAAAAAATGTTGGGATTTGATCACAGTGCCTGAACCTTACCCCAGATTCCCTTTCCTCAAGAAAGTTGGTTTGCTCCAATCCCTTGATAACCTTCCGTGCCTTGGGGGCTGGTGGGGAGGACCAGCCAACCAAAAAGAGCTTCCTAACTCCCAATCTCCAGATTCCAAGGGGGGCTTCTGGTTCCTCCTTCCAATGCAAATAATTTACTTTCTCCCTGGAGATTAGCTTTGTTTTGTGTACCTGGGCCTCAGAGAGGGGCAGCTGGAATGAAAAAAAAAAAAAAAAAAAGAAAAGAAAAAGGTTAAGGAGTGTCTCACTCTTACCTGCATTTGCATAACTGAAAGGCCCACTCAGGTAACTCTTTGTAGCCCAAAGATCTGTTTCTCTTCTTTTCAAACAAATAAACAAACAAACAAAAACTGCTCAGAGGGAAAGCTAGAAGGGTGGGTGGATGGGAAGAGATCAACCAAAGGATTGCATAACCCATGGACACAAACAATAGGGTGGTGAAGAGGGGGTGGGAAGGTACTGCGGAGGGCTGCTAGAAGAGATCAATAGGGAACAAAAAGGTGGCATATGTAACAACTTCAACAATAAAGAGCCGAAACCACAACCAAGATTACTGTATCCAGCAAAGTTATCATTTAGAATTGAAGGGCAGATAAAGAGCTTCACAGATAAGAAAAAGTTAAAGGAGTTCACCACCACCAAACCAGTATTATATTATGAAATGCTGAAAGGTGTTATTTAAGAAGAGGAAGAAGATCAAGTGAATTAACAACCTGAGGAACAGAATAAACTGGAGAATATAATAGAATCAGGGGCAAAGAAAGGGAGTGGATTGATAATTATCAGGGGGAAAGGGGTGTGGGGTGCAGAAAGAGACT